TACACCTCAAAGCCTCGGGCCACTCCTTTGAGGACAGCGAGGTACAGATTTTAGCCAGAGAAAAGAATTGCTTTGGGAGGAGTTAAAGAAGCTATTATTGTTAAGAAAGAAAATCTTTCTCTAAACAGAAATGGAGCACTCAGACACCATCTGTCTCCTATTTACAACTCCATCCTCAAACCTAAATCAAAACAAACAAGAGAACAATAGGTGTAGCCAGGTCAGGTCTAGAGGTGTGAAAGCTCCCCTATGGCCCTGATTATACTAATATGACCCCACACTCTGTGCAGTTCAAAAGGTCTAACTAACTAACAGAAACTGTAAACAAGTAGATGTGTTAGTTTCTGAAGAGATAACATTATAACATGGCTTAAAGCTCACAAGAGTCAACTTTGCTCAATGTTGGAGCTATAATTCAACTATTGTCCATGTGATACATCTGAGGGGAATTTTGCACTGTGGCAGTAAGATTATAGACAGTTTGGTTTATGCTGTTTAGGTTGACCTTCATTCTTCCAGGAAACCAGAGCAGCCAGAGGAAATCTACTCAGACACAGGAAGTAAACTCTTGAAAACAACAGGCCTACAAATGTGTTACTTAAAAGAAAATCCCCAGTACGCTTTAAGTCATGAGTATGGACTGTGTGCTTCGGTCCTGTTATGTGCTTTTTACTGTCTTGCCATCACCCTGCCGGTGGGACTTCAGATGAAAATGACATTATATTTAGGCATTAGGCATTGCAGTTAGGCATTATTATACTTTTTACTTCAGCCTAAACCCTTTTGGTCATGATCCATGGGGTTGGAGTTTTTGTTTTGTTTTGTAGTGCTGCAAAATGACCGAATAAAAGTACTACTATTAAACTACTACAACTACATTTGCATGCTGGACTGACACATATTAATTAAAGGGCCCATATTATTATTTGATATGATCTATCTTATTATTATCACAAACATACTTAGAGATGTGTTTTGTTTCATTCACACAGGTTGACCATCTATAATAACGTCATCTAGAATTTCTATAAATGTTATTCATTTGGTTTACCTGCAACTCTTTAATATTTTGCTTTCGATTTATAATAGCATTTTCATTATTGCCATGGGAGTTATAATAAAAATACTCTACTACTTGTATTGACTGATTGCAGATGTAATAGAGACAGTAATAGCAATAGTAATGTAGTAGTTTTTTGGAGTAGTTTAGTGGTACAGTCTCCCTTCTTAAAGAGCCCAATTTATTGTTTTTTGATCTGTTATACATGTAATGTTGTTTCCTCATCAAAACCCCAGAGTTGTGTTTTGTTTCATTCACACATGTTTAACACACAAATCCTGCATATTTAGGCTGAGTTCTCTCAACTAGAAAGCACTTTTTTCCACCTTGTGATGTCATGTGGTAATACAGAAGGTCCTACACTGTGTTAAAAACATTCAGTAGAATCATTTGGATAATTTCAGCCCTGTAATCATCAGTCTCTACCTAATGAAATGTAAACAGTAGCTGTTACTTTGCAAATTACCACTGCATGATATCACAAGATGGAACAGAGCATTAAAAATCCAGGGTTACTCAACTCCAGGTCTGTTCTTTAACAATTTGTCCTTACTTAATTGACTATTGAGAACTTTTACTGCAATAGGACAAGTTCAGCATATTATGAGTTTTGCAGTAATATGCATTGAAGCTCCAGAGCTCAAAACCGAACTTATTATTATTTTGTTTTTTTACTTTTGTTTTTTTTATCTTTTTGTGAGAAATTTAACTTTTTTTAAACATGAAAAATAGTTTTGTTTTTATAAAGTAAGTGGTGAAAATCAATCTATCTATCTATATTTATTCTTTACGTTTTTACCTTTTAGTTGTAGGAATGTACACTTTTCCAAAATATATTGACGTCTTTACAGTCCCAAAACATGTGGATAAAAGTAACAATGACGGTAAGTTTTATCAGATACATACACACACAGATACATTTTTGTGTGTCAAATAAGTTAAATGTAAAAAGTTAAAGTGCAATGTCTGATGATTTGGATTTTTTGATGAGTAGGTAATTTTGTTACATATTCCTTTCCAGTTGTCTTTCTCCAGTGCTGCATCCAAATCCTTACTCCACGTGTTCAATTTTCAATGGTTTATAATTTGCAATCAATAACAGATTATATATTTGTGAAACAAGGCTCTTTTGGGTTTTCCTGTTTAATATATTGTGTAATTTGTGTGTAGTAAGAGGTTCATTCCATGGAACCCCAGACACTTTCATGGAGGATCTCAACAGAAGGTACACAAAAAAAAAAGATGTTGACAGGTTAAAGGTGACACGTAAATCGTTAAAGGAGAGAAGCCCAGAATCATCAAACATGTCTGCTTCTAGTACATGAAACCCTTTCTCTTCCTACTGTGAGAATGCAAATGGTTTAGCACCAAAGAGTAATGAATATTTATGAAAAAGTCAATTAACTTTTTGCCATTTTTGTATGCTTTTTGATTCTTTTTCAATTTTACCCCACACTGATAGAAGATTAGTAATTATTGGGCCAAAACAAGTCTTGTTTGTTTAAGTGAATTTAAGTACGTTTATTATTACCATTTATATTTTCGCTCTTTGTTATTATATTTATTGTGATGTGTGAGCTACTGTGACCAAATAATTTCCTTTGTGGATCAATAAAGTTTGTCTAAGTCTAAGTGAAATAAAGGAGTAATTCAGGTCCCTTAGTCTGTGAGGATAAACTAGTTTCTCTCCTACACATTTTCATGAACCAGGTCTTGGTTTTTGAGGTTGATGTGAAACTTCCATCCATCAACGCAACACAACAGACCCAAACAGCCCACACACACTTCTCATTTATCACAGAAGTTTAGACCAGTGTCATTTAAACAACAACTGGACAGCATCTGTACCTGTCACTAAACGATTAAGATAAATGACTACATACAGAGAAATTAAACTTAAAGGCGTAACTGCGTAACTTTTCTTGTGGAAGATGCGTAACCTCATTGTTTCCACATGATGTTATTTCTTTGTCTAGAATGTTCAACTGTGTGGCATTAAACTCATAGAACGTGCATTGATACAACTACAAGTGTTTTTATTGCTCAAGTAGTTTGAAAAGCATGCATTCTTACTAAGAGTGTCGTCTCCTCTGCACAGATCTGACATATATTGTTGAACATTCAAAGCAAAGCAATAACTTCCCTGGAGACTATATCAAGTGACAGACCCTTCATGAGAAAAATTACACACTGCACCTTTAATATTGGCTTTCTACTTCAAAACATGAAACAGGACAAGTAAGGTTCACATTGTTAAGTCTGAGTATAGAACAATCTAGATCAGGGCTGGATATCATTAAAAAGTTGCAGATACGATACATACCTCATAGGCTACGATATGATACATAACTTAATACAGTGCAATTTTGATTTGATATGATATTTTTCAAATCGACTTGATACGGTTCAATAAAAAATAAAGGTTAAATCTTGGCTGTGACACTAAAAGTCTTTGTTAAACCTCTTCTTGTGCAAAGTTCATATGAAACACACCCATTTTAATCATCAAAACAAATCATCAAAACAGTGAAAATGTCAAATGTGTCGCATAAACGAGTTTCCTTCCACTAAAAAAGCAACAAAACTGTAGCGCTGTAAGAAAACAATTTAAAAAATATTTTAGAAAATATACAAAAAAATACTCTTGGCGATATATTGATATAGCAGCTCACAATATCGATACTGTATTATCACATTAAACTATACAATACATTTTAATATTTTTGCACACCCCTAATCTAGACATATGTAGCCCCCAAAAGCACTGAATATCTATTTTTTGGTTCATGTCAAAAACACAATGGTACACTGTGGTGGATGGTATACTGTAGTTTCAGGCTTTCAAACTCTTCTTCATGCTCTGCAGTGATACCCCGACCCTCGCACCAGAACTATGGGTTAAGTTTGACATGTGCTGCCCTTTAGTGGCATTAACACAGTACTGCAGCCCTATCTTACACTGTAATACACATGATAAACTGCATAATATTTCACCACAAAAAAATTTGAGACGACTACAAAGGAAATACATCAATATTTTTTAAACTAAACCAGGTTCAGGCAGACTAGTCACAGCGGCAGATGGAGAAAAGTAGACGGCACGTGAAATGTCAGCAAGTAAAGTGCAATCAAAAAATGAGCAAAAACACAACAGAAAAGCACTGAATAAAGACTACGGGTTGTCCAACAAACTGACCCATTATATCTCTAGGATTCAGAATGATGAAAAATGAGGACAGTTGCTATAGCGATTAGCAATTTAAAACAATATATTATATCTCCTGAATAGAGATGTAACAATATCAAAATCCCTTGATATGATATTTTCACGATATTTATGTCATGGTTTGATATTTATTGCGATATTTTGTAGAGGCAAACAAAACTGTGAATATGCTACATTTCCTTCTAAAAGGTCTTGGACAAGCCTTGAAAACCCTTTGATGGGGTTACAATATGATGACGGTGATGATTATTTTTTTAAAGTGCTTAATAAATGTTATTTCTTCATGGAGTCTGCACTGATAACACCAAACGATCATGGTCTATGAAGTTCCCTCTGTTTTTTAGCGGTTTCTGCACCATAACAAGGGAAGGGAAGTTTATTTGTACAGCACAATTCCTACACAAAGTAATTCAAAGTGCTTTACGGAATAAAAAATCACATTAAAATCACAAAGAAAGGCATTAAAATCACCATAGCTATTAATTTAAGCGAAGATACTTACGATAATTCGATATATTGTGATGGCCCATGATATTATTGTGAGACTTTAGACGATACGATATCACGATATTTTGGTTACTGTTACATCCCTACTGACTGTGGTATCAAAACTGGAATTGAGTATACAGTCATTTCCTTACTTTAAATAAATGTATTGTAGTGTGTATTATGACTTCTTATTCTAACCAAGACTAATCATGTCATAAATACATCTCAGTATTGGACACCACACCCTCCCATAAACCATAAATCATACTCACAGAAGTTCCCCGGGGGCTGTAGGCTGTGTTTAGTCATGGCGCACCATCCGACCGGGAAAATGTCTCTGGAGTCGTAGGGGCACCAGTAGTCGAAGGCCCCCCTCCATCCATCAAACATGACGAATATCTCCTGACCTCTGACCTCTCCTACCGTGGCGGGACAGATCAGATATGGGTTCTTCCTGTCCACCGCCTCCAGTTTCATCCCAGGCTGGAACATGTTTTTCGCTGGACTCACAGGTTCCTAAAAACAATGATGACATTTATTAAAAAAATAGTGGTTACCAAACATTTAGACAAACTGTATTGATTAAGGAGGGTTATTTGGATACATAACCTTAAAATTTCAATACAAATACAATAAAAACAAACAATGTTGATAATAGCAGCTCAATAATATCAGTAAAATATAGTGTATATATGATAAAAATATGAGGAAATTTGGCAAGGTAAACATGTGAAACAAATTCCCAAACTATTTTAATCAGGTCTACTATAACCTAACCATAACTGCTGTCAATTTCAAGGACAATTTACAAGGTTATTATATAAGAAAATACAATGGGACCAGTAATATCAATGTTAATATGGTACTATCAGAATGTGTATGGCTCCCTCTACTGTCCACGGTGGATATTGCATAGAAGAAAAAAAATCTTTGGAGCCTTCACAGGACAAGAGAAACAACACATAAAAATAAAAAATAACATGTACCTTCTTAAAAACAGAACTTGGGGCCATTTCTGCTCCACTCAGAGTTCGAAGAAGGAACATAGGCCACGAAGAAGCATTCATCCTAAAACCTGAAACACAAATATAAAAAAGAATATTTTTAAAAGTTGTACACACATGAAGATGATAGAAAATTAAGAGGTAAATGATTAAGGGGTTATAAGTTATTATTATGAATGGGATAAATAAATGTTTGTTTTAGTTTCTATTAGGACCAAAAGCAGAACTTCTAGTAGTCATTTACCAAAATCATACTTTTCTAATGATCACTATTGGGTATTTTAATTTTAAACAAATTCTAATATTTCTGAACATTAAAAACATAAAAAATAGGAAAACATAAAACAATCTTAAATAAAACCTAAAATGCAAAAACAAACATAATACAACAAATAAATTAGTGTGGGTTATAATAAAATAGTTGTAGTTCTAGACAAATTAACAAATTGGAATATTTTTGAAGTACCTGAACTGTAAAAGTTAAGTAATCACACTTTTGTAATGATCATTGTTGGATATTTTAATTGAAACTTTTTAAGTAATTCAAATATTTATTAACACAAAAAAATAACAAAACATAAACAAATTTAAATAAAATGCAAAATCAAACAGTACAACAAACAAAACAGTGACGGTTAAGATAAAATAGTTGTAGTTCTAGACAAATGAACAAATTGCAATATATTTGAAGTATCTGAACTGTAAAAGTTAAGTACTTTTTAAATGAATTATTGAGTATTTCCACTTTCAGCAAATCTGATAAGAGAGGTTAACTGTTGCAAAAACTATGCCAATATAATCGGGATGTAACAATAACCAAAATATCGTAATATCGTATGGTCAAAAGCCTCAATAATATCGTGGGGCGTCACAATATATCAGATTACAAGTTTCTTTGCTTAAATGCATGGTTTTACAGTAGCAACAGCTTATGAACACTGGAAACTACATATCCCATGATTCATTTCAGTGCGAACAACATGAAGAAATATGTTTTTGACTTGAATTCTTGGGATTATGATGGGAATAATTCGCACTAAAATCTTGTCAAGGTATTTTAAAAGCAGAAATGTGTCCTATCTATAGTTATATCAGCCTCTACAAAATATCACAATAAATATCGTGCCGTGAGATGCATATCGTGATAATATTGTACTGAGAAAATACATCCCTACAATATAATCTAACTATCCATATACACCGCTCCGTACCTAGAGGCGGCTGCAGCATGTCACCGCTCCTCTCGCACGTTCCTATTGGCTGAATCTCGGACGAATCGACCAATCTCCAGAAGTCGTTGGTGTTGTCACTTCCGTCGAGTCTGAGCCGTAGCCGCGTGCCCACCATGCCCATCACCGTGGCGATGCACACAGAGTTGGAGTTTCGAGGGTCCCGCGCCTCCAGCTTCATGCCCGCCTTGAAGTCATTGGAGGGAGGGACTCTGGACTGGGGGACGGAGGAGACAGAAATAGAAAACATTTTGACCAATATCATGTAAATAGCACAGATTTTCATTTTGTTAGTGGGTCACAAATTAAAGAAGTATCACAAAATTATAACCAATGTCTTGACTCAGAAAATATTATGCTATATAGTCTTCTCTAACAGTTTTTTCTATCTATATTTATACTGTTATATACTTGCATACACATTAGAAAATGTAAATGTATGCAATTTACATAATACACATTTATTTTATTTCTTGAGCTTTATTTAACCAGAATAGTCCCACTGAGCTTTTACATCTCTTTTTTAAGGAAAAGTCCAGGTCCCAGAGAGTAGGCCTACAGGGAAACTGGAGCACGAGCAGGTGTCGGGTTTTATAAATGAAATTGAGATGAACATTAATGTGTGAAACCTGGAGCTGAACAGGACATTACCTGTTTGAAGCATGAGGGCGGGGCTGCGATGGAGGAGGTTTCTTTCAGATAGTCATCCCAACTAAATGGTTCTGTGGGAAATAAACACGCTTTGAAATTTATTGCAAAACACAACAAGACGTTCATTGTGGGTTGTGTATTTTTATGTCTGCTTTGAATAAATGAATGTTTTGGCAATGTGTTTTTTGCCAATGTGGTTTTTAAACCGAAAACAGGAAATTAACTGAACTGATTTTTCCGTTCTAAATTCAGCTTACTGATTTGCTGAGCCTTTAACCTCTTCATCATACAAAAGTGAATTCAGTCTTTGCTGTCTTGTCTTGTCTTGTTTGGTTGACATAGTGAATAAAGGATTAACCATCAACAAAGACATAACCCCAAAACTCAATATATCACGAATAAAGAATACAAAAAGGGTACACTACTAGTATGTACACTTATCTGGCAGTTTGTCTCCATGGAGGTGTTATGTTTGATGGAAATGTTTCATAATATGGCATTTATTTTATGCATGAAGACATGAAGACAAGCAGGTGACACCACACTACAAGGAAGAAGCGACTCCGCATATTTTTACAACATCCATGAATAAAACAAATGATACTTTAATGCCATACAGTTGAACTTTCTGTGAAAAGCAATAAGATCCCCGTGAGACAAGCAGGTGGTGGATAAATAGTGCACAACTCTACTGTATTTCACAAGAAAGAGAGGATAAAATAGGTTGGCAAGATGAATCACAATCAAATCAAAATCTAATTTCCGGAAAACAACAAAATGTCTTGTCTTACTTTGCATAAAAACCCAGTAGTTTTGATTTGTATAAACATGTTCTAAAATGTGATTCTTGTATTAGATTGTCAATGTCAGGTCATGGGCCTATTTCAGTCTTTTTGTCTATTATCTTGAGAATCCAATGACTAAAACATAAATCATAAATCTAATAACAATGGCAATGCTTGTAATTATGGATGTAATAATTATATACTTTCCCTAATCGCTCAGCCATAGCACAAAACCCACTGAATCAGGACTAAAAATACTGTAATTAAATTAAAAACAACTCTAACAGCTGAATAAAAGCGGAGCCAAAAGCCCCCCGTGTCCTGTGTGATTTGAAATGCTGTGATTGGAGACATATGTCAGCGGGGGACAGAGCCTCACCCACCAGTGGATTTGTCAAGGGCAGACCCCACAGAGAGGCCGCTCCTCCGCTCCTTCTTCTCCTCTTTCTGATCTGAAATGAAAAGATGATTGAAGACTCATTTGCATTTTGATACAGACGCCCCAATTACCAACTGAGTGAGGACTGAAAAGTGCATTCTCATCTAATAGAAGGCACCAAAGGCATTTAAACACAACTTTGTTCAGAGTAATGAGTAAAGACGGAGCAGGGAGATTTGGACAGTTTCCTCATGTGGAATTTTGTAGACTTAAAGGTAGAGAAAATACATTGATAGTGAGAAATTGATTGATAATTTAATTGATAACCAAGACTGTAATATCTCATCAAACCTGGATAATTTGAGCAAGTATTGATATTGGATCTTTCCTGAAGAATTTTTTGAATAATTTGAATCAATATCTGAAATATTATAGGCCCACACAATAATAAATCACACTGTAGTGATTATTTGTTCACTCTATACTTGATGGTGTTAAGTATTGTTGCTACAGTTGCCCTGGGGCAGACTGACATAAGCGAGGCTGGCAATCACAATGTCAGAACTGTTTTTTAATTATAATTTTAGACAAAGTGTAACATTTCAAGAATATGCTTTGGGGGAAATGGGGGTGGTCCTACTTTCATTAATTAAAATCACAAATACAGCATGTAATATATGTTTTACCTCAAAGCCAACAGAAGTAGCTAGTAGCAGAGCAAGTAGAGCAAGTAAGTAATAATATTAAAGGAACAGTTCGGAATTTTGGACATAGAACCTCATTTCCTAGTGAGCCAGAGTGTTGGAGATGTGTGGAGACACTTTTAAAAAAATATTCCATCCAGTCCTTGTATTTGCAGGAGTCGCTGGTGCTAGACTAGTGCATGTCAATGGCCATAGTTAGACTGCTACTAAAAACAGTCTTACCCACTCCACAAAACACCCGAAGCAAATCTATTATACACCAGACTGTCGATGTAAATGTCTGTGTCGATAGAAAAATTTTAGAAGTAAAAACAACCTTGCATTTGAAGGAATTATGTCTGAGCAGCAGTAGCGAGTTGTACTTCCTGATAGAAAGCTTGGCAGCGGCGGACTGATATCACCAAGCACCCATCTTACTGGCAAAGTAAAATTCCGCTGCTGCTGAGAAAATAGTCCCTCAACATGCGACGATTCATGCGACGCAATGTTAGTTTTATTTCAAACATTATTCTATCTATTATTCTGCTTCGGGTCCTTTGTGGAGTGGGTAAGACTGTTTTTAGTGGCAGGATAACTATGGCCATTGACATGTACTAGCACCAGCGACCTCTGTAAATACAAGGACTGGATGGAATATTTAAAAAAGTGTCTCCACACGTCTCCAACACTCTGGCTCACTAGGAAATGAGGTCCTATGTCCAAAATTCCAGACTGTCCCTTTAAAGTAGTTAATAAATTGTAGTAAATGAATAATAGCACTCAAATGTAATATTGTAACAGTAGCAATATGGCAAGGAGTTGAAGTACTTGCCACTCACTCACCATGTTTCCTTTTTACTTTAACTATTTTTTTTTAAGTAGCAGTACTTATTTTTTCACAGTTTGAAATTGATAATGTAAGCTCAAATGTTCAAATTGAGAGGCCTAGGTGAAAATCTTGCACTGAACCGAAGTAAAAGCTTGAGCATTCAACATTCATATCAATTGCAAAACTTTGAACTGCACAATGCAAATACATGCAGCCGGTGTTTACCTCTGTGTGGAGTGCGGCCCATGTTGACCACAGGATGTTGAAAAGGAAATCACCTGCAGAGACAAAGGAAAAGAAAAATATTGCCTTACTAAAACTGTGAATTTATCCAAGAATAAAATGTATACTTCTATATATCCTGAAGAACTGGCATCTAATGTTTACAGAAACTCGATGGAGTGAAAACAAAGAGCCCATTCAGAGTGAGATATTTCTGATCACACGTGGACCACAGACTGAGTGAGTGCGTCCTCCCTCCCTCCTATAAAGATGTTTTCTTGTGATTGCATCTCTAAAAATAACTTGTGTTTCCCCAGGTTTTATTGTAAATGTATAAAAAGAGAAAAGATCTAAAATGTTGACCAAGAGATTAACTTCAATATTATTACATATATTACCATTTGGATAATACAATCAACTTTAATCTAGTTTATTTTATTTAGTGTAATTACTAATATCTAAAGTAACACTGAAAACTGTTCACAGGGTTTTTATTTTATTACATGACATTTGCTTAAAGGTCCTCTAATATGCAAAGTTGACTCTTGTGAGCTTTAAGCCATGTTAGAAGGTTGTTAGCTCCTGAAAAACATACCCATACCCAGAGTTATGTTTTGTTTCATTCACACATGTTTAAGTAATCCTTTATTATAAGTTTGTTTAGTAGAGAGTGGCAATCCCATGTCTAAAGTCATCCAAATGATTCTAGTGAATGTGTACAGAGTTTGAAAACACAGTGGAGCACTTCCTGTATTACCTCATGACATCACAAGGTGGAAGAGAGTGTTTTGAGAGAAGAACTCAACATTGTTAAACATGTGTGAATAAAACAAAACAAAACTTCAGGTGTGTTTGTGATGAAGAAACAACATGATAACAGAAAATAGTGAAATATGGGCCTTTTTAAGCAAGTCATACAGAAAATGCCACTAACATTCTGACCAACTAAAACAATTTTTATCAAATGCAAAATGAGTCACCTTTTCATGTGATTTATTTTAGTAAATGAAATAATAGCCCAAATATTCTCATTTCCAAAAATAACACTGTTGAGGACTAAAAGCAACAGAAGATATAAAGTCTCTACAATAATTTTAGAACGGAACATTATAAATTAATAAACTATATGAAATGTCTCTCACCATGAATTAAATATACCACACTGCACGAGATGAACAAAATGAAGTACTGTGTGTAGAATCCATGGCAAAGGAGATTTTTTTTTTTTTAAGTTTATTTATTTAATAGGACAAGGACAGTGCACAGTCTACATTAACCTTAACAGGAGAGATGCATTGTAGAACCAGTGCTAATTTTCACCTGTCGTCCCTGGACAGGTTAATTGATTGATTGTATTTAATTGACCTGAGCTATCAGCTATTCTTCCTGGAGACCTACGTAGCATGTTTTGGGTTGATGGGGGAACTAAAGTGCCTGGAGGAAACCTATCCAGACACAGGGAGAAACATGCAAACTCCACAAAGAAAGAAAAAGAAAAAAAGAAGAAAGAACCGGGTGACCTAGGAATCAAACCCAGAACCTTCTTGCTGTGAGGCATAAGTGTTGACCACTCAGTCACAGTGCCGCCAAAATGTTTCGTAGTTCATCCAAGCTGCTTCTGACCAGAACTGAAGAAGCAGCTTGGATGAGCTACAAAACATTTTCAACCTAAATAAACATTTGTCCAGTTGACATATTTAATTTCTCCTTTGCCAAAAATTAAGTACTGTTGATAAAACTCTATAAGCATTAACACATATTGTATTAAAAAAAACTTAATTTTATTTTTATTTTAAAAGCCCATATTATGCTATTTTCTCATCAATGTTGTTTCCTCTTCACAAGCAGATATGAAGTTGTGTTTTGTTTCATTCACTCATGTTTAACACATAAATCCTGCATATTCCACCTTGTGAAGTGCTCCGCTGTGTTTTCAAACTCCATACACCTTCACTCATTTGGATAATTTACAATCTCTAGTGAACAAAAAGTAATAGGTAGCTTCACTTGAAAAATACAGCTTCATGAAATCACAAGGTGGGACAGAGCATTTTGAGTTTTGGAGATGTAAACAGACTAATAATAATGCTACTCATGTGTGAATGAAACAAAACACAACTCCAGCTACAGTATGTTTTTGATGAGGTAACAACATCATAACACAACTTGAACCTCACAAAAATCAATTTTGCATAATGACCTTTAAACTGACTTATTATGTTGAAACGGAATATAAAACCCTCCAAAATATAAATAACATAAAGTGCATTCTCTCTTTGGATTAAAACACAAAAATCCGGTTAATTTTCCATTTTAGTGATATGAACCCAGTCCCCTGCAAAAAATAATTGAACTGTCACACATGGTTTCATTACGTTGTTATATTTAACCAACAAAATCAAAACAAAGTGAATGTCAATGATATGAGTCACAGATGGAGTGGTATTTTTGGCTCTGGTGTTTTTGTTTCCGCTGCATTAGAATAACCTTTAAAAGCATGTAGAGCTGACATTAATATTATTGTTTGTTTTGCCAATTATCTGCAAAAGCTACATGTGGCAGAGAAGGTGTGAAAATAAAGTTATTTATAGAAGAGACTACACTAGTAACAAGCTTATAGGATTTAAATACGCGACAAGAAAAAGTTTTATGGACTATCTACAAGACATATACAGAAATAATGACTGTCTTCATGTTGTGACACTGTAATATTCTACAACTGCTGGAATTACAGGTCCTATATTATGCAAAATTGACTCTTGCAAGCTTTTAGTCATGTTAGAATGATCAAAAACATACCTGGAGTTGCTCAAAATGCTCCACCTTGTGATGCCATGAAGTGATAGTTTACACATTAACTTTTCACCTTTAGTTCAGCAGAGATTAGCAATTCCAGGTCTGAAATTGTCCAAATGATTCCAGTGAAGGTGTATGAAGTTTAAAACACAGTGGAGCACTTCCTGTATTACCACATGAATCACAAGGTGGAACAGTGTGTTTTCAGTTTGAGTGAAGAACTCAGCCTAAATATGCATAAGTGAATGAAACAAAATACAACTCCAGGTCTGTTTGTGATGAGGAAACAAGATTATAACATCAGAAAATAGTGTAATATGGGGCCTTTAACTGTTTAACTGCCAAAATACAGATGTTTAATCTAGTTTAAGGTTAATATCGTTGTAATTACTGGGCCTATCCACTAGTTTCAAACTCAATTTTAACACGAAAGAATAGATTTGAATAGATTTGATATTTAATACCAATTTTGATACCTAAATAATCATTTTAAACAGTATTTCTTTATTAAACCACATGGTCTTAAAATAGTTCTGATAAAACTCAAGATAAACTGTTGAAGAAAGGTAAATTTAATCCAGTTACTTGATTTTTTCAGTATCGATAGTTGCTTTAATGAAAATCTAGTTCCGATACTAATTTTGGTATTGATTGGTCGGGCTGGGTATCATTAAAAAGTTGCTGATACGATACATAGACCACGATACAATACCTATCTCGATACAGTGAGCTTTCGATTAGATACGATATATTTCAAATTGATTAGATACAGTTCAATAAAAAATAATGGCTAAATCGTGGCTGTGATACTATAAGTCTTTGTTAAACCACTTTTTGTGCAAAGTTAAAACACACCCATTTCAATCATCAAAACAGTGAAAATGTCAAATATGTTGCATAAACTGATTTTCTTCCTCTAAACAAACACCAAAACTGTAGCACTGTAACAAAATAATGTAGTAAAACATACCAAAAAATACTCTTGGCGATATATCGATACAGCAGCCCACGACATCAATACTGTATCATCACATTAAACGATATGATATATTGATAATTCAATACTTTTGCACACCCCTATTGATAATGGTGTCTGATTCTCCATACTTTTGACAAAAAAGTAAATGGTGATTGTTCTAAGTTCAATAGACTTGATGACTTGTTTGTTAAATTTGTGGAGTTCAAACAATTAAAGGTTGTATAGAGGATTTTCCAAGGAACGAGAAATCCAGCGACTTGTTTGTCCTTTTTCAAATGTTGCGCATGCGTGAAACCACCCCCCCCTCCCCTACAGCTCCCTACGTAGAAACGCCTTCTCCCGCCTCCTCTTTACGCCAGAAACAGGTTTGTTTACAGCCGGTGCTGCACATGACTTGTAAACAACTAACTACAGTGTTGGTTAGGCAAGGCGGAGAAGTGAGGAGCGGGGAGAGCGGGTGTGCGGACATTTCGTTCGCGGACGAGAAGTGAGGAGCAGGAAGAAGAGCGGAGCAGGGAGAGAGGAGAGAGGAGAGGGGAGCGGTGCGCGGAGATTCCGTGCCCGGAGAAGTGAGGAGCAGGGGGAAGAGCGGAACGGGCAGCGGGGACAGGAGCAGGAAAGGGGTGCAGAGAAGGTTGCGCGGAGATTCAGTGCGAATGAACTAGCTACAACACGCAGCAGCAAGCGGACTCTTTCTTTGCCTTGAAAATTACGTTTTCAGACATAGGATATCGCTTTCGTGTCCTGAAAAACGTTTGACTAGCTCTTGGAAATAAAGTACGTTTTCATAATAAGCAGAAGTGACCTGTCCAGGAGTAATTTGGCGACCAATGCGTCAGTCTTTAGACCCTGCGTCTGCTTCAGTCGCGCCATCGCTGGAATGAATCTTCAAGAATCACCTTAGTTTGGCTTCGCTGCTTTTCCCCTTGTCTTCTTCTTTCAGCGACCTCAAAAACGGACTTTCTTTTGCGGCTAACTGCTCCTGGATTCTTGTCTGCCATTGCAACAAACTTTGTGCTAACTGCGAGGAAGATATAGGTCAAAAAAAGCCGCTAAGAACTGTTGCGTTGGTGGAGTAAACAGCGTCTGTGCGGCTTGCGTCTGTGCGACTGCGTGTGGACTGCGTGACAGGCGTACGTAAACCACGTACCGGCGGCGCAGGCAAGTCAGTTACGCTAGAAACGTAGGGAGATTGATTGACAGCCTGTCAGCTAACAGATAACGAGGCAGTGTCGTTATATATTGGCAAATGTTTAGCTGGCCCCACCACGTCCAGAGTTGATGAATTTTTATTCTCTTTTTTTTGGTCATCATAATTACAAGGCTACTGCACCTCTATAATGCTATCATTGACAACTTGAAACAAAAAAAACAAAAAAATCCTCCATACAACCTTTAATGCTAAGGTTAAACATGTGTGGATTTTAAATTTAGATATTATATCCCCCAAAAATGTGAATCCCCCTATAGTTATAAAGACCTAAAAACTATAGCTACTGTATCAATTTCCAACAATGAACACAGCCTATGAGATAAGCATCAGAAATTATAGATTAGATGTTACTATACCTTACTAAAGCAGCATATCCAATTGAAAACAGTCAACAGCCAGTAAAGTTCTCTTTGTATTCGCAACAAAGAGCTCCAATCGAAAAGTAATTGGAAGATTCTCCAGAATTTAAGAGCATGATGACGTAATAACATTAGTATAAATATATCAAAGATTTTTCTAAAGTGGTGCTCTTCTCTCTGTGTAGTGTGTGTGGTTCTGAGTGTAGGTCTGAGGACACTCCCCATTCAATCAAATGGAGCCATAAAGATTCCTGCAGGCCATAAAAACCCATTTAGAAGTGTGGAAAAGAAAAGAGAGGGAGAGAAGGGAGAGAAAGGAGAGAAAGGGTATGGGTGGGCTATTTGATTAAATGTAAATCTTGATTATTCTGGTTACAATTAAATCGCAATTAATAAAAATATTGTTAATGAAATTTCACTATAATAGACCCTCCCAAAGTTAACCTAAATTTAGTTGTTTTTTTTTTTATTATTATTATTTGGCTGTTCACTTTATCCAGTAGTGTTAAATATTAATAAACTACTGACAATGTGAATGAAAATGACTTAATGACTTCTTGTTTGGAGTCATTAATTCTGAAAATGTGATGTTTCTTCTCCAATAATCATAACAGTAAGAAAAAATGTATATACACTGTGACATCCATCGACTGGAGAGATAAATTAAGCGAGGGAGAAAGACAGAAAGAAAAAAGGAGGGGAGAGAGAGAGACGGAGAGAGAGAGACGGAGATGAAAGAGATTCCCGCTCCTTTCCAGACTCCAGACTGGTTCATCAGCTCTGGGGTCAGACAGAGGAAGACCCACCAGGAAGTAATTGATTTTTACAACCTCGGTGCAAATAAGACAGCACCGCCACAAAAAAGTAGTAGCGCAACAATCAAATACATATGTGAAAACAAAAACGTGCAAAAGATTAAATATGAAAGCTCAGTTTGTATTTAGCTCACCATATCCTAACTTGTTTTATGTAACTTTGCTACTCCCCATGCTCTTTCATTGCCCATTTGGGATAAAAAAGTGACTTAATTGAATTCCACTATCAAAATAATCAAACATTGCCTAAAATAAACTTCAAAATGTATGTATTTCTGAATATTTTGCAACACCATAACTAAGTAACCCACCAAAAGAATACCATGATTTTTTTGAGCTTGTCTTTTCAGCAAATGTTTTCATCTGCAGCTGATTATAGAAGTCTACTCCTTCTGTCTGACTCTGGGCCATAACTCTTGAGCTGCTGTTTTTACTCTTAGGATTTTATTTTTGTAGATGAAAAAATAGAGTTAGACTGCAACTTATCTAAAAGACAAGCAGTAATGACATTAAGTAGTGCATTTGCCATTTGTAAAAGTATTCCAAAATAAAGCCAAAAACTGAATTGCAGTACTCAAAGCAGCATAAATAAAGATGGAATTTATCTAAACAATATTTGCTCAAAAATGTCTTCTTGATCTTGGAGTGCATTTGCGAGAAACTTTTATTATTAGCCTGAATACTGCTGAAAAGAACAACGATGCATAGGCTAATTCATGGTAATGTCGTTAAAATAAATGCTTTTTTTTTTAACTATATATGACCCCAATAGCACGAGGCCTGACCGCAGTGAGTCTCGGGCCCTAATTAAAATAGAGGGAACGAGTGACGCAGCTCGTGTATATGTCCACATTTAGTGGGCGGGACACCTCTCATTATTCAGCCCCTAAACCGCTGCAATCTTTTACAATAGCCGCAATTTAGCGCGAAAACGTAACCATGCGCACTCAAAATCACCCATGTGCACTGTTAGATTGGCGAACATCCACTACTAAACTGTAAAAGCAACGTGAATTTGCAGCAGAGTTGGACGTAAGGTACAGTACGCACAACACATAAACACGCTCCTACGTCTATCTCTACGAGGACGTATTGTGGCCGTTTCGTTGCGTTCCGTCATGCAAAAATGGGCCCAAACGAAGCACAAAGCGTTGTTCTGTAGTGTATTAGAAAAGGAATGAGGCAGGAGACGTACCGAGCGTGTGAGCAGCGTATTTTGGTCAGAGAATCCTCAGTTTCCATCAGATGCGAGCCGCCATGTTCGCTGCAGCCTTCGCGCATGTCTACAGCGCTGTGCAATGTTCCCAATTCATATTTCTCCACTGGGGGAAAGAATTAAATAAATGCGAAGGAAGGAGAGCCAGAGGGGGCATGCTAATTAGTCATTTTGCCAGGGCGGATATTGTTACTTGTTTGGTTGGATAATGCGCTTCGTGCCAAGCGTAAACGAAAACAAATGTGTTATTTACATGATGTGGCTTCCTGGTTTTGTGGTAAAAAGGGCAAAAGGAGATGACAAAGGCGGACGCAGACACACACCTGCGGGCTCCGGACAGAGGGACGATAATAAAGAAATATGTATTATATAGGTAATATTATATAAGTGTGGATAATATTGACAAAACACACGAGGATTGGACGACAACAGCACTGTAGTTTTATGTTTATAGCTGCAAGCCATCCTGAAATGTAAACCATTATACCAATGTTCTGTCTGTCCTTCGGGATACGTTTTCAATATTTATTTACTTGTTATTTTTGTTTGTATTAAATATTATTATTCAGTAGTCAATGTTCAATCTTTATAATCATTATGGCACAACAATTTAAGCTAAAAAGACATTTAAACGTAACCTACCTATACAACAGTATGAAACAAAAGACTATTAAGTCATCTGCATAAATAAATGCATTAAACAGTCAAAAAAAGATTTGAAAGTTGATTTGGAAAAGATAATGTAAATGCAATTAGAAAAAATGCACAATAGGCTACGTAAAAGTATAGGCCTGTCTATTTATTTGCATATATTTTATAGCCTATGTTATTAAACTATGTGGTTTACAGGTTTAATTTAAAGATAATTTTTATTTAAAAATCAAATGCTCGCAACTTAATCATTGTGTAAGATTTTATATAATACGTTTTCGCAAATGTAACAAACGGATATGTTGATCTATTTTTATTATTTGGTTTGAAGTTTGCGGTGCTGTAATGCTTCCTTTAAGTGTGACTGCCTGTTTCGTTTTGCCTGCAGAGTTTGTGGTGAATTTAGACTGAAATATGTCTGTGCAATCCTCAGTCGTCTAAATATGATCCATAGAAAAGATGTTTGACTGTTGCTGTCATTTTGGCCTATTTATTTTAAAGGCAAAGGAAAAATTGCGTTCAGTTCACTATTGTCCCATTGGCGATTTGAAATATGATTATGTAATAATGAGTTAGTAGATAGATAAACGTGGTAAATGCTGTAATTTTAGAGCAAATTAACATGAACTTCCTTCAGAACGCGCTTGCAGGTTTTAAACACAACTGTTTTTGTCAGATTTTGGCAAGTGACCAACGTGGTGTTAAAAACCTGCTAATATTTAGTGATGGGCGTGATGATTTGTTAAGCTTAAAATGAATCCTATTACAATCCTAAAGTTTTATTTCTTTGCAGTTCACGGCTGCAAAACTGGACACGGGGAGCGCGCGCACGTCTCTCCTCCTATTGGCCGTCCGCTGCGTCGCTCACACAAATGACGATTTTGCTGCTATAACCAGCTGATGCCGAGGCAGGCTGCGAGCACAGAGCCTGCGAAGAACTGTTGACGGTTCATGGATACGCGGCTCTCGGCTCTCCGTGTGTGGATCGTCTCCGGTCCAGTGACGGCGAGCGGGGGACATCGGCGACTTGTCACGACGCGCGACCCGGGCTTTTCCCCTGTCGCGTTGCACTTGTCGCTCCTTCGTCTTCTCTCACCGTCTTCTCCATTGGCATGATGCTCTGTACTTCACAGCTCCAGCGCGCTCACCTCACGCACGGACACGTCACATCTGCAGGTACAAGGCTTCACTGATTTTAATGACATAATGCTAGCCACCGGCGTCCTGCCTTGGCATCGCCGTTTTGTGCGTAAAAATGTGCGTTATCGTGGCATATGGCCGGAGGAAAACGCAATATGTAGTCGCTGTTGTGCAATACTGACGTGAACGTGGCTGGGTTAATGTATGCACTGGTTGCTGTGTAGGCTGAGAAACGCGTGGACAGCAGAGGAATGGTGGCGTGCATCGATGAGAGAGAGAGACGCAGTTTAGGTGCAGAGCATTAGGGCTACTATCCCCCCATTCGTGTCCCCCCTCACTCCTCACTCCTCACGCGCACGGACACCGACACGCACGCTCACACATCGGTAATATATTCACGCGACCGAAACCAAGTCGGTCATTAGGATGGATCAGAGAGGAGCACATCCGCATACATCGTAACTGCGTCTCAGAAATTCACCAGCAAATCTATGGAGACGTATTCAAAAGGATTAGCTCTGCCGTATAGACCAGGGTAAACCAGAACCAAACCAGGACTAAATGCATGGCTATAAGGGTCTAGCCACGAATATGTTTCCAGATTTGCACCAGAACAAATCTTGAAGCCTTCAGCAACCGGTTTAAACCAGGACTGGTTTATAGGTCCAAGCCAAAAGACCCAAAATCTAAAGTGATGACTTCAGTTATACACTACAGTATGAAAATTCCAAAACGCATGAGTAAACCAGGTCCAAACCAGAACTAATAGTGCAAGAGGCAGCAAAATGAGGACAGAACCATGATTATACCAGGACTGGACCAGGTCTAGAGCATGACCAAGGACTAAAATGCTCTGAAAATGGCTCTGAAATGGGTCTTTATATATGGCACAGTTAAATTTACTCATGACCTGATCAGCTGAACCACAAACAGAATGTAGAAGGGAATGGCTGGTCAGGCAACATGAAGGGAGCATAACACCGCAGATTATAGAATGTATGTAGACAGCACGGGCCAATCAAGACCCCAGACTATGAAAAAGACAAGAATATATCAAGTATAATTAGAGGTCATCATATTAATCAACATAAACATTACAGACTTTTAATCAGTGGCATTTACAGATTCAGATTCAGACTTTATTAATCCCACCCGGTGCAAAGTTTGAGCAGTAAACAATTTAGTGACAAACAAATGTTCAACACATGGAGCGAACAAAGAGGAGCTCTGCGGAATAAGAAGCACCCAATAAAAAGACATTACATCAAGTAGAATTTAAAAGGCAAATGGCAGTAGGAATAAAAGATTTCAAATATCTACTCATTTTTGAATAGTGGACATCATACAGTAAACAAATGTTTCTCTAAAGTCTCAACTCTGCCCCAAACCACATGCTTTTATTGACAGAGGACTGGCTGTACCTCTCGATTCAAGTAACCCAACCATGTCATTGACAATTGGACATGACTGAATCACAATCTGTTGCTCAGCTCTAGGCCGGTTGTGATAACAAATACTGAAGCACAATGTGTTCCTGCAGAGAAATACTGCGATAAACGATAATATTGAAACTATATATGCTTCTAACATAACGCAAGGTAATCCCAGTAAACCATTTTTTAAACGTCCAATATCATTAAAAAGCCAGAGCAGCAACAGATTAATCATAGAATGAACCGTTAATTAGCCAGAGAAGTTATTTTTTCTACTCTCTGCAGCTCAAATCTCATCGCATTACATAAAAACGGCTAAAATCTCCCCACTATTGCTAAGAAAAAGTACTCACGATAAATACTGAGCCCTAAAATATACTGTTCCAGCTTTCAAATATTGAACAATAAGTCGATATTGTAAGTAGTATTACGTGTAAATATGATATATGATAAGACTTAACTAGGTCCAGTCAACAAAGCCAACTCTGCATGCACAAAGACAACAAAGTCATTTGAATCAAAGTCAGTCAGGTCTAAACTATAACCAACCCAACCAAACTGTCTCTTCAACACCTTAATCTATATTCTGAATTAAATATATCCAACAAAATGTACAGAAAAACATGATTACAATATGATTTCAACAAAAAAATGTTTCAGTAATCTTGTTTAGAATTGCAGTTATGTTAAACATGTTTATAACCATATGCTCAAGTATGGCAAAAATCCAAGCAGCACTTTTGATTTCTGGTAACATCTCCTGTCAATAATCACTATATCAAGTTATCCTTCAATATATGAAAGATGGAATTTGGAATATTTTCATGCTCAGTATTTATTGTGTATACATTTTCTTTTCCATAATGGGGAAATTTTTGCTATTTTATTTGTAACACCATAAGATTTGAGCAGTAGGGGGCTGAATGAGTAACGTTTATGGCTCCAGTATGCTAAATATTTGTTGCAGCTCAGGCCTTTAAATGATACTGTCTATTAAAAACTGCTTTACTGGGATTATCCTGTTTTATTGTTATAGTGTACAGTAAATCGTGCTTCAAAATTTGTTTAGTTGAATATTTTAGTCTAAAATGGGGTCATATAATCTCTAGGCCCCACTCGAATTGTGCACATTACTGTTTAAAGGTCCTATATTACACGAAATTGACTCTTGTGACATTTTAGCCATGTTATAATGTTGTCACCTCATCAAAAACATACTTGGAGTTGTATTTTGTTGTTGTTTGTTACATATGTTTGGTTTATTTTTTTCTATTTGAGAGAAGAACTTGTCCTAAATCTGCAGGTTTGTGCGTTAAACATGTGTGAATGAAACAAAACTCAACTCTAGTTAATGTTTGTGACAAGGAAACAACATTATAACAAACTAGATCACAAAATAGCGTAATATGGTCACTTTAATTTGATGCTGAATTTGGCTGGTAGCTTTTGCAAGGGATGAACTCCGCATCCACCTTATCACTTCTCCTGGAAAGATTTGGCTCTGTACACCGCATAGGAAAACACCCACACAACCAAATCAACATTTAAGTCTGCGTGCTTTTTTTTTTTTTCTTTTTAACACCAGAATAAATCGAATAGAAATGGTGGAAAATGAATTGATGGCTACATAGTCCAACTGTGTCCATGTGGTGCTTTTAATAATAGTGGATTTGTATGTGTGAAAGAAGAAAGTGTAACTGGTTTACTGGTGTTGTTTTTAATAGTAAAAATAGTTTCTGAAAATGTGAAGAAAAGGACAACGCAAATATGAGCAGCCTTTTACTTTTTCGACAGAGTATAAATTGATGGTTTTAACATGTTTTTAAGATA